TCCTTTGCAAAAATCGGTTGATACTTGGCACGACTCAGTTTTCATTGACACACCTAGTCATGATTTCACAAACTCGTATCTTTTAGTGAGTTAAATATAACCGATAAATAATGCGACAAATTAAAAATTACAAAAACATAATTACATAATAACAAAACAACTTCTTATTTATTGATGATCAACATAATTACATACATAAAGAAGTTTCATATTCACAAGGCCCTTCTAGTTTTTTGGTGCCTATGGTGTGCCCCTCTTTTGCATAGGAGCACACCAACTCTTTATGAAGCATATGACCTTCCCAACGATTTGAGTATTGCACCATTCCCTGGTTGGTGAGAAACCTTATTAGAAACAAGGTTTCTTTTCGACCCTCCAAGAATATTCCTAAACATAAAAGGGCATAAACAACAGTGAGAACCTAAGTTGAGCCAATCATGATACTTTGTAACATGGGCACTGGTCATGAAGCTAATTGCATTCTCTCTTGTGGCCTGTGACCTCTCATTCCATCATGGGAAATGTTACTGTTTGTTGCTGCCCATGATCTCTATTGTGTTCAACATATTCGTTTCTCGGTCGTTGAAGGAATCAAAACCAAAATCATGGACACCAAAATCTTGACAATTTAATAGCCACCCACAATCCTCGTCCCACGATGTCATGCCAGCATCATCAAAGGTTTGTTTTTGTCCAGCAGATGGAAACTCCCATGGTGCATCGACTATTGGACCTTGGTCCTCCAATAGAAAACTCATCAATGGAAAATCGTCACATATGCTATCGAGTAAATGGGATTCATCACCAGAACAATTTTCAGGCGGTGAGCACGAGTTCTCCTCGGAGATGGCAGTGCCACTGCCAGAAGTTTCTGGCAATTGAACATGATGGTTTTCGGATTCGGGCAAATGGTCTCCATGAGATTTCTCTGTGGCTTTATTTTCCTTATGGAGGGGTTCATGTGTGACAGGATCAATGCCCATTTTAAGAAGTTTTTTCTTTATGTGGGTGTTCCAGTGATTTTTTATCTCGTTATCAGTCCTTCCAGGCAATCTTGCAGCAATCTTAGACCACCTTTTAAACAAATAAACAACACCAAATCAGTACAATTATGCACTAAAAACTAAGACAAAAGCTACTAACACTAGAAAATTGATTTTCTTGTCTTGACACTGCTTTATTAGTTTATGGGTGGTTGCAATCTTAATGATCCCTTGAATCTCAAGCTAAATTATTGATATATTAAACAATACATTGCTTGGCAATAGTCCAAAGACACTAAACAACTTTAAAAGAAATAAAAAATACAAGGGAAGAAAACCACGTCAAAAGAAAAACAATGATCGATTCCACTCAAGTTTAAAAAAAAAAATTGTGTATAAAATTACAATTTGAAAATTTAGCTTGTCCTATGGAAATAATCTCTTTACAAAGAGATTACTAATGTGTAAATCTAATTCTTTATAAATCTTACAATGAGGGAATTTTGTGTAGCAAGCTACCCTTATTTCTCAAAACCAGTTGCAATGAAAGTCACTTTAACTTGCCACTGGCATGAAACATGCATGGTTGTTGTAAAACTTTCACCAAACACCAGTAGTTTTTGTTTGAATATCATGGTTGGAAGCATTGATGAGTTGTTTATTTTTTTATTTTTTTTGTTGCGATAATGGATTTGTAACTTAAAATGAACTAAAAGCTTTCAAAATGAACAACCCAATAAATGAAACTCTCATTATTATAAAATTTAAAAAGATATGATATAAACGGTCTTGTGTCACCGCACTAAAAGCCCTTGATGTCAAAAGTACAATTACATACAAAAGTGACATAGAAGAGAGAATGACCTGTTGCCAAGTCGAGCATGGAGATCAATGACCAACTGCTCCTCAGCCTCAGTAAGAAGGCCTCTCTTCAAGTCAGGGCGAAGGTAATTAGTCCAACGGAGCCGGCAACTCTTGCCACAGCGGCGTAGTCCGGCGAGCTTGGGGACAGCTCGCCAACAACATTGGCCATTTGTGAGGATGAAGCTAATAAGTTTCTTGTCCTCCTCGGCTGTCCATGGCCCTTTCTTCACCCCAAGTTTGTCACAGCAAGGTTGTCTTCCCATCACAAGCACCACCAACCTAAGTCTCCAATAAAACTTGTGAAAATTTAAAAGTCCCCCACCCACCTTTATATACCCACCAACTTCACATAAAGGTCTCACCTTTTCTCCTCCAAATATATATATGTATATATATGCAAACACACAGACAATGAGGGTGTGATGATAGGACCCACCATTAGTTTATGAAAGGTATTGACGAACTAAAAATCCTGTTCTGGCGTTATTGAATACACAAGGTGGAGATGGTGAATGATGGGTGTGGCCCAAGGACAAAGCTACATCTAAGCATTCAAAGTTTTCTTACCATTTTCCTACACAATCTCCACTCTGTGATTGCACTCTTACTCAACCATTCCATCATCCATTCGTCATCTCTACGATTACGTGTCCATAATACAGCAGAACGTAATCGTCTGTGCTCATGATCATGGAGACTTTGATTGCCTAAGCCACGAGGACCCGTTTGATCGAAGATTAATTGAACTTCGTGGTGTGGGATTAATCTCGAGTTGATTGCCAAAATGAAATTAGCCACATGCCGTTAGATCACCATCAAAATTTATTTAATGATGCAGGGTAGCGCGGATAAGAAACAAAATTAAATAGCAAAAATTTTAACTTATTAATTATCGCAATAATATCAATTTAAAAGTCTTCAAGAGCTTTGTTAATTTACGAAGAATACCAAGTCAATTGAAAGAAAGAGGAACCCCCAGTTTATTTCAAAATAATTCAAAGTTGTTGAATTCAATTTTTTAACAAAATATAAATATGAAACCCTAATGGCTCTAAATAACTAGAAAATCCAAGTAAATAAGCAATAATATGAAAATGTCCCAAATAGTAGGATAAAAAAAAAAGTACCTAAAAAACGTCCTAAAAGTCATTTTCTGGCTTAAAAATGACAGGTTGAAAGATATATATTTCAATCTTGCTCAGATCGTCAAGAGTTTTCAAGAATAAAATCTTTCAAAATTTTCTAATACTATTGCCCAGAATCAGCACTGATTGACGCAATGATACTTTCAACGGTCTTAATTTGCCATATAAGTATATGTTATACATGTTATATCATTTACTAATCCTAACAAAATGCTACCCCTTGCAACACAAGGTGGTCATAGTAAATAAGCTCGTTTCATGTATCTTTTACCCCTTTTTAACTTATAAAAAGTAGGGTGCAACTTGGGTTGGACAACCGATTTCAACCTGAAAAAATTAGGGCTTGGGTAAGGGTTTTTAATACTTGGGTTGAGCTTGGGTCAAAAAATTCTAACTCGAATTCAATTTGAGTTGGGCTCGGGTTAAGGCCTCGTGAACCCGAGTTCAACTTGAACCTGACAAATTAAAAAAAAATTATATATATAAAGCATTAGCACTAGTTTTTCATTTTTGTTCTATCGTTCTCTGTCTTTCTAATTCTCTTTGCCTCTCTCGTTCTCTCAGCCTCTCTCGTTAAAAACTTGGTTAAAATTATTGGTTGTTAATTTAGGTGAATATTATATAATATATGTATTAAGTTTAGAACAACAAGCTTATTTTGGGCTCTACCTGAATTGAACCCGTAAAATAACCCGAAATCATCAACCCGAATTCAACCCAACCCCCCCGAATTAAACTCGGGCAGTACTCGGGTTGAGTTTTCCAACCCGAGGTAGGGTTAGAGTTGAAAATTATATATCTAGGGTTGATTGTCCAACCTGCCCGAATTGCACCCCTAATAAAAAGGTCTCTCTAGGAATATCTCCAACAATAAAAATTAATTTAACTATTTAAAAAACAACATTTTTTTATTTTAGTTACTCAATTTTTCAATACACATTTCAACAGACTTTCTATATTTTTAATTATTTTTTTTAAATATTATTTTTTATTCCTTTTGTATTATTTTTCTTTGAGAATACTGAGAGCGAGAAAGAGAGAGAATGAAAGGAAGAAAATGAGGAGAGAGAAAATATTATAAAGAATTCATACATATTGCTACAGTGATACACTAAATAGAGTATTACTATAGTAAAAAACTATTTTAGATGTTTTAGACATGTTCTGTTGGAGTGGAATTTTTGGGTAAGATAACTAAATTTTGAAGTTTTTGTATACTTTAACTAATCTTTTGGAGTAGCTCTAAGAAGGCTATTTTGAAATCGAAGATGCGGGGCAGTAACTATAATTGATCAATAATTGGTTGAAGTCGATTTTCGCTTTAGAAAAAGCAAAATAAAATGGTCCTCAGGAATTTGCTTGTGGAAGACATGAGAGACATGATGCTTCCTATGAAGGAGCAGATCTAATTTAACCTATTCAACTTGGACTTATTACCAATAAAATAACTATTTGGTTTGGAAGAAACCACCATTAATAATGCACACAGTCACGTACAAGCATCTTCTACTTTTATTTGCAAACTTTCTAATATATTTCAACCTTAAATCCAGTTAAAACAAACCCATAATTTCTTTGAATATCCAAAACCAACCCACAAAACTCTAGCAATTGCTTTTACATCTTGCAACAAACAAAATCAGAAAGTACTTAAAGATACTTTGACAACATGAACTCGTTTCTTTTCCTGGCTGGGAAGCCTTACTGCTAAATCATTCAGATTAAATTATCAAACTCTGATGCTAAACTCAATGTATAGCTAGATATACAAGGTTATTCTCGTGAGATCGATCATGTCTACTATTAAAATTGCCTCTTTTGAGGAAGAAAACAAATATCCTCACCAGATAGTCATCGATTTCTTGCATCGATTCATTTGATTAATCACAAACTTGGAGGGAGGGATCATTCTGACAAAGTCAAGTGTTGATATTGGCTTAATACTTCAACTTTGCTTACTTTCATACGTATGTGTCTAAATCTTAGAGAAACAAACTTTGGAGTAATAGTTTAATATCTTTGACACGGACCACAATATTTCCATAGTTTATCTTCATACGTTCCATCAAATTTTTCTCACCATTTGTGCTTAATTCTAGATTGTTCGATTGCTATCATTTCTCACGTTAGCTAATTGGTTAGAGAACAAATTTCTGATACATTGAGTATATTTCTACCACTCCTCATCAGATGGCTTAGAGAGGTTGACAATGGTACAAGTTTTGTCAATGTTTTCAGTTAGATTGACTCAAATATCAACGTGCTTGACTCGTATTAATACTTGCTTGATCAAGAAGGTTTCTTGATTGAAATTTAATTCTCAAAATACTTCATATATGCGGTCCAGATTGCATTACATTATATTATCTAAAAGAGATTGGGGGCAGGTAAAAATCCATGTTCTTGGTCTTTGACTTGGAGCCATTAGCTTAGGTGAGTAGTTGTATGTGGAGCCCTTTTCTTCCACTGCCCTTTCTGTTAAACTATCCAATCTCAAGCTTCAAGAAGAAGATCATTCCGTCATACTACTTTAGGTGATCACAAGAAAGGTGTCACTGAGAATACACTTGGTTCATGATCAATCAAAATTAATTGCCATCATAGTGGGGCGGTCAATACATTTTCATTAACTCACCACTTCATACAATTAACCAAGACGAAAGAGGTCCATCTATACAGCATTAGGGTTCAACGAGGTTGTAAACCGGCCACATGGCAGAAGGCCGGGGCATTGGTTTTTAATGACAGATGTTGAAAAACAGGTGAGAAATACCAAATAACTTGCAAGGCACTACACTTTATAATCTTACTTGTATTCTTTACTTGAAATTTTTGTTGTTTAATACTTTCATATAACACATGTACTTGCATTTTGTGAACTGTAAACTTTCCCCTTAAGGAAAGACAAGTGAAGGATATTACATTTGTGTATTATATACATGCAAGTCACCATCATATGCACCTGCTGTGTGCTCTCAATCTCCCAACAATCGAATTAATTCATGAGCAAACACGTACGAGTTCTCAGAATCTCCCTGTGATCAGTATACTCCATGATCAGCCACCTAGGAGTTTTTGAATGTAAAGAATACCACTACGATGAACCATACAACAAGTTATCTAATGAATAAATCATTTAACATTTTTCTGCAAATTTAAACAAACATAGGTGGACCCAATCCTGAGTATGGTAAGGGAGCTAAGGGAGGCATTGCTTGTAAGGTTGGAACTGTCTGGTTTAAGTTCAGCCATTACTGTAAGCAGTTATGAGTTCATGGTCACCACAACGACCATGGTTCAAACTTGGTCCACATGTTTGAATTCCTCTTTTCGGGTTTAAGTTCATCGTATTTGGTCTTTCCAATTTATCGAAGCATTTCCTGATTGGAGGATAATTTCCAAATCCCTTCACAGTGTTCGTTGTTTTACAGGGAAAAAAGTAACATGTAATTGGTGAAAACAGTTCATAGTACATTAATACCCGAAACCTATCATCAATTTGTGTTCAACTATGCCAACTCGAGCCAGAAAAATGATCAAAATTCAAGACAGATGATGAATTTCCAAGCCAAGAGGAGGTCAAAATAAAAAGAACTAGATATCCAGGCACAGTGAAGTACATGGAGACAGGCTTTAGTTGGTTCTGCTATTACTTCCAGAGATGTGCTCATTGCACAGAATATATGGTTTAATGGGAAAATTGAAGTATTAAGAGGTTTCAAACTCAGAAATTTTGTATCTTGACTATGAAAGTTGTATGGTAGATATGCTAGCATTCACTATCACCTTATGCAATTCCGGAAAATTTTTATTTGATGTTTCTCCTTACCTTGAGGAAAGGAAAATCAAATTGCAATCAAGCCATCGCTTCTCTCAGTCAAAAAAATCATAATCCTTTTCATTAGTGTAATCCTCAGGTACTTGTCTCAATCTCCCACTAGCGGTGATGATGAATATCTAAACACAACATTGCACCATTATTATTGTTAAATACTCCAATAATCGCACCTTAAAGCGACTCATGAGCTAATAAATCACAATTTATGACGTTTGAGTGTAACTATTCTCCGCAAAACCTTAACATCATTTTTATGTGGCAAGGTGAAAAAGTGATAATT